GCATTTCATGAGTGTCCCTGCTGTCTCCTCCTTGGACTTCTGGCTTTTGCCCCCTTTTCCTCAGATCTGCACTCTGTCCCAGTAGCTGTGGTTATTGCAGTTCCTGGGCTGAGACCTTTGTCTTCTTCTATAGCCCTTTGAAGTTGTTCAGAAGGGACTGTCACATGTCCTAGGAAGAGAAGGACAAAATCAAAATGACTTTTCCCTTCTAATTAGTTCTACTTATTTCTGAAGAAGGAAGTTTGTCAAATATCTAGAAATCCTGCTGAAGAAGCACAGAATTAGAGGGCAACCAAGAGGTCTTCACAGGGATGTGTGTGCCTCAGCCCTAGGGTTAATCTCTGGCCTAAGGTAACTAGTGGACATTGCCACTCATATCTAACATCCCCCAATACCTGGTAGTTAAGGTGCTTCTCTGGTCTGTCCTTTAAGGAGCTTCTCCTGACCTCCAAAGAAGGACATAGCATAAGGTTGATATTCATCTCTAGGACTGTGATTTCAGATCCATTTCCCCATATCCCCAAATTTTAATACTCAGGAAACCCGTAGAACAGTACATTATATTGAAGTTAATGTTGCTTTATTTTATAGATGAGAAGAATTTAGAACAGCACTTCAGAGGGCAAGACACTACCCAGAGCCATTTTTTTTTTCTGAGACAGGGTTTCTCTGTGTATCTTTGCACCTTTCCTGGAACTCACTTGGTAGCCCAGGCTGGCCTCGAACTCACAGAGATCTGCCTGTCTCTACCTCCCAAGTGCTGGGATTAAAGGTGTGCACCACCACCGCCAAGCCTCACAGCCATTCGTTAACAAGGTGATGATGTTTGAGTCAATGGGTGTCTCTGTGTCTTTTTAAATCTGTGATAGGGAAACACATGTTGGGTTTAGAAAAAAACAGGATCTCCTGCTCTGGGACAGATAATGCTGCTGTTGAGCATGTCATGAATTGCTTTCACATCTCACTGACTTGTGCAAACCCCTGTGTCACACGGTGGTTTATTAGCATCTTCTTTACATTAATTTCCCAAGCACAGCAGTGCAAGTATTGATTTTAGACCACAGGTCCAGGTAATCATCCATTTTGGGGATATCAAGGCAGGAACTCAGTCACATCACATCCACAGTCAAGAGCTGAGAGATACAAATGTATCCATGCTGCCTGCTGGCCTCTGCATATGCTCCAGCTTCTTCTCTGTTACACAGTTCAGGTCCTAGCAATGAAGTGTTTCTGCACACTTTAGATTGAGATCTCCATCTGATTAACAATCTATAAATCTCCAAAAGATGTGCTCAAAGCCAACTTAATCTAAAGAATTCCTCATTGAGGCTCTCTCTTCCCAGGTGACTCTAGTTTGAGTAAGCATCAGAATAATTAAAAACTAACTCTCACACTGCCCCATCATCATTGTTATGCTTTGTGGCTATAGGTTACATGAAAGAGAAAATTTTAAATGAGCTAGCAACATTGAACAACCTCAGTAGACATTTCAGCCATTTGGTGTCCTTCCTACAAACCCAAATAACTCTGATTTCTGTTTCTCTTGATTGCTTTTTAGCCATTTTCTGTAAGCCCCTAGTGATTCACTGAGCTATTCCAACGACCTGATACTAGAAGAACTAAAGATACACCACAGTGCTCACAGGTAAAAATCATTTGACTTGTTACTAAGTCTTGTGGAAGAAAGACATCAAATGAAAAATCACTGTTCCTGGTTGTAGACCAGCAAGGTAGTTATCCAGGGTGGTCAGGATCTTTCTCCCTCCTCCAGATTGATCAAATCCTTCCCAAATCCTGTATTGAGGTGATATTGTCCCCTGTGTAGACAAAGATGATAGTGCTGGTCAGAGGAGCAGGGTTACTTCTGTAGAGGGGCAGAACAAGGTAAAATGTGCAAGGAGTCAGTTCCCTGCTGAGCAGAATGTCAGCTAATGTTTTCTCAGGTCCAGACAGGAAGAGGTAGGGCTCCTTCTATCAGGACAATTTTCTGGTAAAGTCTTATTAATGATGGAATCTTTACCTGGTATCTCCTGAAATGAATTAGCCTCAGTGAGAGCTCTGCAGAATCCTTTGATATAGGCTTTCCAAAGAGAGGTCTAGTATAGTGTTCATGACTGTGAGTAGTAGTCAGATTTAATAAAGTAGTGCACTCTACCAGTCCTGGTCCCTTGCTTGGGTACTAATCATTTCATCCATCTCTTGATTAGTATCTGGTAAGCTTTACTGTAATAGTAATAATTTTACTAGTCATAGAGACCATATTTGAGACCTCTCTTTATATTCCAGTAACCATTCCTGGGACTGGGTATAAAAGCTCACAAATGATCCTTAGCATTGCAAAACAACATCATACTGCCTCCAATTATAGGTGTGCCTTTTATCCCTCTTATCAAAAACTAGATTTTACATTGAGAAGGTTAGAGTTAACATGTAATACAGTCAAGAAATAAAACAGCACCATTCTTGATTCAGTAATATAAATGACCTTGTTTTCACCCCAAAATCTCAGTGATCAGAAAGCATCTTGATGTCTCTTGCTCCAAGTTAAAGATAGGTTTACTCTCCATCTCACATTCATGGGTTTGTTGTCTACATTCAGTTGTTTCATTATTAGGTGGTCTCAGGGATGCTGTACTGGTCAGATCGAAAGCCATCTAGGAGTTCATGAATTTCCTGGAAAATATAAACACATCCTTGCTTCAAGGTTAGATTATCAGGCCCTCTCCATTGATTAATTTTTATATCTTTTGACATAACATATTCTTTAGGCTGTGTATACTTTAAGGCAAAATTATTTAAAGGAAACAGAAAAGGATTATCCTTTAAAGTGGAAAAATTAATGGTTAACTTGGATAAATGTAGTATTCTGTGTAGATTTACCTAGGTTCCTAAATATTGCCCTTTTATTTTTGAAACTTGCCATTTAATTATTTGATGGTGTTTTGCAATAGCTGGATCTTGTGGCTAGTAAGGGATTTTATTAACATGATTAATATTCCATAAAGTATAAAATTCTTGAAGGTGTTAACTAGTATAAACAAGACCATTTCCAGTTTTAAGTTGTAATGGGAGGCCTAGAAAGGACACCCATAAAGAGCTATTTGACAAAGTCAAGTTTTAGATAAGACACAACTGTATTTTTGTGCCAGTGACCCATGCTAAACGTGGGTTGTGCTCTGCAACTGATTGGGTAGAGAGAGAGGCATCATGCATGTAGTGAGCCTATTCTGAGCATAGACATCTAGATACTTCATGGCTGAGAAAGAATAATTTTAGATGAAAATTACCAAATACTCTAACTTCTACAGATTGCATTTTTGTTTAACCCATTTTGGCCTCCAAGTCAATTAGAGCAACATGCAATTATTTTGTCTTGTTGGACACTACATTTATATTATCTAGTAGAAAACCCTTTTTTAATATTCACTCTTATTTTTAAACCCAGCTAAGCCTGTTTACATTGTTTTAACTTCTTATGATATACAAAAATATATATTTGAAAGAATTAAGTTTTGCTAATCACAAATACAAAGAATATGAGTGGTGTCCTGGCTTTCAATTTCTGAAAGACATACAATTAAAATGTCTCCATTGTTTATGTTAAAGACAAGACAAAATTTCTTTTGCTAGCACTGTACACATTGGATGCGTGCATTATTGGATCAGGCATAAGCAGGGAAAACTCCTACAGTCTCAGTAACAGACAGCTCATGGCACCAAGCCTTTCGTTAAGCCTCCTGCCTGTAGCCTGAGTCAAGGACTCTTTTAGCTTTTCTCCTAGGCAAACTTTTTGTTCTATGTTCTCTGGAGAAAAATGAGTGAGCAGTTCACTATTACTGTCATGTTTTAATAGAATTGATTTTTATTACCTGTTTATTTACCTAATTACAAAGCAAGTTCCTTGAAATAAAGGAATAGTGAGAAGTTCCACTGAAACACATCATGAGGGTTATTTCTTTCAGTGTAAAGTCTTTCAGCAAGGTAAACTGTCTGTGTAAACAAACTTCATTCATTTTTAATCATTGCTTTTGGCCTAACCTTGAAAATATGAACATCATTCTAACTGAAGCTTTTCCCTGTAAAATGAAATAGAATTGTAATTAGTGTGACTACAAGCATAGTTTCAGAACACTTTAAAGATTTTTATTATTTATATGGTGATCATCATTAACTTGTATGACCTAATTGTGTTTAACAGTTTACAAAGAGTTGAAAGCTTTTTGTATGATTAGGATTGTACAATTTTTATCCCTGTTGAGTTTGAGTTTTAAAAATTTGGATTGAAGATTTAACTTAAGATTCTTTAGCCTCAAATATAAAACTTAAATAAATACAGTTCATAGAATTTAATTAAATTTTATTTTTTACTCTTTCAGGGTGTACCATTATAGAATATCACAGTTTCTTATATGACTCAGTTTATGCAGAGAGATTAAAGCTGAACAAATTTGGGAAAGACAAAGAGGCTTAATGCATTATTTTCAAGTGCATTTCTGCTAGCCTAAATAGACCTTAGGTATTTAAGAGCTTATTTATCAAATATACCATATTTATCAGTCACATATTTGTTTCTTATTTAAATTTTTCCAGAATCCTGGTGTTCAACAGTTAGCAAATACATAAGTGGTTAGGCATACATCTTTTGAGTCAGGTTCTTCTATCCTGAATAGATTTATATTTCCTTAGGGATATCTCATGGTATTAAATTCCATCTTTCTCCCAAATATTTTGAGGAACTGTGATTGCCTATTTATTCTATAAAGGAGATATAATAATAGCCAAAGGGACAGCAGGAATAATATCTTTTATACATGCTGCCTATGTATAGATTTTTAAAGTGATAACCTTTTGTTACAAGTTTTCAGTTGATTTTTGTTATACATTTTACAAATTTTAACCATGCCCCAGGAATTTATAAATCCAAAGTTAAAGAAACTGTATATCTTAAGATACTATTTTTTTAAGGTAGGGAGCAAAGAAATTAAGAGATAAAATGTGTTAGAGTACAAAGTAGATAGAGCTTAGAGATTTTCATCTCTTCATTACACTTTTTTAAAATTTATAACACTTTTGTAACAGTTCTTTTCTATCAGGCTAAGCCAGTTTCCATTTTTAGTATAACTCTATCCTTTAAGTGAAAATATATACATGAAGTGAGTTAAAAAAACTTATGACTGAGCAATGTCTAATAAAAACTGATGGGATATAGTAAGGTTTTACTGTTGAGCTGTACAATCAGGGGAAGGTACTATCCATTTTGAGGAGTGTGAAGAATTTGTGTAGAAAATATATGCTCCTGTGCTGTGGACATCGCTTTATATAAATAAAACACTGATGGCCAGTGACCAGACAGGAAGTATAGGCAGGACAAGGAGAGAGGAGAATTGGGGAAACAGGAAGAAGGGGAGAGAGACACTGCAGCCACCACCAGGATGAGCAACATGTAAAGATGCCGGTAAGCCACAAGCGACATGACAAGGTATAGATTTATAGAAATGGGTTAATTTAAGATAGAAGAACAGTTAGCAAGAAGCCTGCCACGGCCATACAGTTTATAAGTAATATAAGCGTCTGAGTGATTATTTTATACGTGGATTGTGGGACTGTGGGGCTTGATGGAACCTGGAGAGAAGCCCTCCAGCAACACTCCTGATCTTTTGAAGAACAATCTGTAAAATCACTAAGACCAAACTCTACGGGATTTTTAGATTTAATTTTTTGTCATACCCATTGAGTATTTTCAAAAACACTTAAAAGTTGATGTACTGGATAGTGATTATCTACAGGTCCTGTGTAACATGCTAATGCAGTCTCCCAGTGGTCATCAAATTATTTATTTGTTTGTTTGTTTGTTTGTTTGTTTGTTTGTTTTTCAAGACAGAGTTTCCCTGTGTAGCTTTACATATTTCCTGGAACTCACTTGGTAGCCCACGATGGCTTCGAACTCACAGAGATCTGCCAACCTCTGCCTCCCGAGTGCTGGGATTAAGGGCATGGGCCATCACTGCCCTTCATCAATTTAAATCAAATAAGCTGCATATTATCTGCTGGCAGTTATTTCTGTAGGTTCCATACCAGGAAGTTGTTTTAAAAGTATCCTTTCCATTATCAGTAAGTCTATCATTTCTTGATAATAAGGAGATACAGGTACTTGTGGAGAATCATATCCCACATCAATGTCTATAATACTGTTACCTTCTGGACATATACATTCAGTAGGAGATGAACACTCACTTTCTTTCCCACATAGAAGCACTGAGGCATTTCCAAGCAATCAGAAAGCAATCTCTGGCTATGGAATAAAAGGGTGCTGAAAGATTTATCTTGAGTCCCAGGAGAGATTCCTAGAATGGGAAACATGACTTCATGTGAGTTATGAAGACATCTGATTAGCAGGAAGGCAATGTCAGTTCCCCCATGACATCAGGGGGTCTCATGCCTAAGACATTCTATTGTATCCTGGAGACCTTAGAATGTTTTCTGATGTCACCTGTGTTGTAGCAACACCAACTGCCTTTGGACAGTTGGTTCAGTGCCCTTACAGTTCAGCCATGAACATGTTGGCACGACTCAGGCGCCTATTGGGTAGAGAGAATGGAGAGGGAAGAGAGAGCAGAGAGAGGCAGACACAAGCTGGCCTTCAGCGTCCATGTAAAAGATCAAGAAGGAAATGGTCCAGAAGATGGTACAGTAAGTTCTGGACAGGAAATTGGTATCTTCCTATAGGACATGGGCTTGAGCAGAATCTTCCAGTGATGGGACACAGGAGTTAGGATTCTCTGGGAACCAACTGGACTTCCCTGCTTGTCATGGCTCCTGAAATTCAAAGATTCCAGAAGATTAATTTGTCTGTCCCAGAAGTCAGGAGCAAGTAAGGCCAAAGGCTGTTGTGCTGGGAGCTCTTGCCTTTCCATCCTACAGGAGGCAAGGGGTTGAAAGGGTACAAAAGAGCCAGTATTAGGGTAGGAGGTGGTGTGCCCAGGAAAAGGCATGTCATCAATGTACTTCAACCTCAGTGGACTCATTTATTTACTGCCCACCAGCCCTGGGTATCTACTGTTATCACTGTGGAGTCTTGTTGAGGATGGTGAACATGTTCTGCCCCTGTGTGGCTTCTCCATTTTTGCCATGTGCCTAGAGTGACCTGTCAGGATAGTTATGCATCTTTAATGACCTGAGTGCTTGTGGACTGTGTCAATTTTATCTTGGCTTGAAAACCAATACTAGTGAACCCTGCAGCCAAGTTGAATGCAGAGTTCAGGGCTGTTAATAAGCCTGAGGAAGCTCTCTCCTTAGTTACCTGAAACATGTACTAAAGGAGCAGGGAAGTCAGCTGGCTGAGACACTTGTCTCCTGTCAGAGAGATGGGAGACCTGAGATGCCCAGCAGGGGCATCTCAATCCAGGGCAAACTTCTTTGGGGTGTCACTGAATCGCTTGCTTACATCCTTTCTCAAACATCTTCTTAGGTCTCAGGGTGACCTGTTCATGTCTTGTCACAATGCAAGTTCACTTGTGTTCATCTACCCACAGGGGCATCCAAGGATCCACCACCCACTCCAACCCACCTCACAAAGCAGCAAGTGACACAGAAGGTAGAGAGTCTGACCACTCAGCTCCAGGAGATGACCGCCCAAAGGAATGATCTGAGAGATCGGCTCATCTTAGTAACCGAAGGATCCTTGGACAAGAGGTACTTACTGTTTCAAATTCCATGGTGACTGTCTTGGTTCCACATTATCACCCTTAGTTTATTTTGTCTAAGAAATGGGCTTCTGGAAGGTTGGGTGCACCTTCACAGTGTTCCTTTACCCAATACCATTTCCCTAAATGCTTCCCTGAAGCCAAACCTGACATATGGGCAGGAGTGAGATGGGGACATTAGACTGTTTTGATTTCTCCAAATGAAAACCAGAGCCTGTGGCCTGAATCACATAACTCAGGGATTGAGGCAGTAATGTGTGAGTTCACAACATACATTTAGAGAGATCCTATCAAGTGGTGGCTAGTGTAGGAATGCTGTGATTTTTTTTTACTTGCCTGGTAAGACATTGTGTGCTGGATGCATCTAGTAGTGTTGTGGCTGTGTTGCAACACCCTCCCCCAAATCAAGACCACCACAGAGCCGATAACTGATGCAAAACACACAGGGGTTTATTGATAACAAAGAAACCCAGGCTTAGTCCGTGTCCAATGCACTGGCTAGCCAGGTGAAGTAGGACAGACCTGAGATCTCAGGGTGAGGGGTTTTTAAAGAGAAAAACCACAAGCAGGGTGGTACAAGCCTTAGTGTCATATGATTGGGTGAGGGTGTGTAACCTTTGAATTTATTGGTTGGGGGTTACAGTTATCATTTGGAAGCATCTTGGACAAGTCCCAGGCTTTGTCCTTGAGCTGCCATGGGGGATGGCTGGACTTGCATGTACTGACAGTGGGGCCTGACTCAGTGGTTCAGGCTGTGTCCTTGAGCTGCCATGGAGCCTGGCTGGTCTCACACCTTCACATTGACCCAGGCACACAGCCCAGACATTAAACAACTCACTGAATCTTGAGCAGTCAGAATACGTGCAGAAAGGAGCTACTACAAGGACTATGTCTTTTGTTCATGGCCCTTCCAGTGACTGCTTGTTCAAGTCTCAGGAAACTGAAACTGAGGCCTGATCTCTGAGAGAAGACTGAGCAGCCTGTTATGGCATCTGCTAGGTCTTTTCAGTAGCAGCTGGAGAGGCCTGGTTCCACATCTTAATATGTGGCAGCAAGGCCTGTTACTGATGTCTGCTGCTCTTGGTCCTCTCTGAGATGACACAATCCTATGTATTTATTTGGCATCTCAATGAGAGCATTCTATCACCTTTCCCTCTCTCAGTTTCTCTCTCTGATTCTCTTTCTGTCTCCCTGTCTCTCCCTCTCCTCCATCTTTCTGTATCTATGTGTTTGTGTGTTTGTGCATATGTGTCTCTCTTCACCCTGCAATCAAGGGTCTAACATTGAGCTGAAGTGTTGCTTGTCTCAGTATCTAGGTGTTGTCTACATGGTGTAATGGGAGCCTCATTTTGAGCATCATAGCACTTTGCCAGTGTGTTCACCTTGGTGCCAACTTGAATGCCCTGGGGGAATTTATGAAGTTGTCATAATATTGAGCCCCATCCTCAGAAATGTTCATGATGTGATTTTAGCCTCCATATCAATATAAGTACCCGGGATGAGCATCTCTTATTTGAAGACAGCAGAAACATCACAGTTTCTGGTGGGCCCAGACCTGTGATAGACTCATGGGAACTCCATACCAAGCTGGCTGTGCAGGACTCCTGAGGGAGCTCATTCAGTCCCAGCCGCATCCCTCTTAATACCCTGCCTCTGCAGGCCTGGGACCAGAAGAGCAAATACTTGGTATGAAGATCTGAAGGTGGAGCATGAGGAGGTCATGACTGACCTACAGAGATTGCAGAATGAGAACACCAAGGCTTCAGAGAAGGTGGATGAGCTTGCCAATCTGACAGTCTTCTATTGGTAAGTGCCTGTTGGCATGGACCCCAATAGTTGTTTGGTGGCCATCTCTGCCTTTCTTTTATTATTATTGTTATTATTAAATTTTATAATTTAATTTAATTTTACGTATTAGCCACGAATTCCTATGACCTCCCTCCTTCTGCCCCCTGCCCCGGCCCTGTCCTCCAATACATCCCCCCATTCCCATCTCTTCCAGGGCAAGTATTCCCCTGGGGGTTAACCTCAGTCTGGGAGATCAAGTCAAGGCAGGTCCAGTACCCTACTCCCTTCACCCAGGCTGAGCAAAGTGTCCCAGAATAGTCCCCAGGCTCCAAAAAGCCAGATCATGCACTAAGGACAGGTCCAGGTCCCACTGCCTGGTGGTCTCCGAAACAGTTCAAGCTAATCAACTGTCTCACTTTTCCAGAGGGCCTCATACAGTTGGGGGCTCCTCATCTATTGGTTCATAGTTCATTTGTTTCCACTAGTTTGGCTATATGTCCCTGTGCTTTTTCCAATCTTGTTCTCAACATGTCTTGCTCATACAATCCCTCCTATTTCTTGCTGATTGGACTCCCAAAGCTCCACCTGGGGCTTAGCCATGGATCTCTGCATCTGCTACCAACAGTCATTGGATGAGAGTTCTACCATGACAGTTAGGGTTGTTTGGCCAACTGATCAGCAGAGTAGGTCAGTTTGGGCTTTCTCTCGACCATTGCCAGTAGTCTATTGTGGAGGTATCTTTGTGGATTTCTGGGGACCTCTCTAGCACTTTGCTTCTTCCTAGTCCCATGGGGTCTTCATTTATCATGATCTCTCTTTCCTTGTTCTCCCTTTCTGTCCCTAATCCAGCTGGGATCTTCCACTGCCCTAAGCTCTGTTTCCCCCAACCCTTGTCCTTCATTACCCACCCCTCACATCCAGTTTGTTCATGTAGATCTCATCCATTTCTCTGTCATTGGGCGATCCCTGTGTTTTTCTTAGTGTCCTCTTTACTAGGTAGCCTCCCTGGAGTTGTGAGTAGCAGTCTAGTCATCCTTTGTTTTACATCTAGTATCCACCTATGAGTAAGTACATACCATGTTTGTCTTTCTGAGTCTGGGTTACCTCACTCAGGATGATTTTTTTCTAGATCCATCCATTTGCCGGCAAACCTCCTGATGTCATTGTTTTTCTCTGCTGAGTAGTACTCCATTGTGTATATGGACCACATTTAATCTATCCATTCTTCAGTTGAAGGGAATCTAGGTTGTTTCCAGGTTCTGGCTATTAAAAACAATGCTGCTATAAACCTAGCTGTGTATGTGCCCCTGTGTTATGATTGAGCATTCCTTGGGAATATGCCCAAGAATGGTATAGCTAGGTCTTGGGGGAGATTGATTCCCAATTTTCTAAGAGAGCACCATATTGATTTCAAAATTGGCTTATCTCTGTCTTTCTTTGTCTCTAAACTGGAGAGTCCACAGCTCTGGTTCTGTCTTTTTTGCACCTTAGCAAGCATCTCTTTGACTTGTGTCACTTGCACTTAGTTTTGCTAAGTATGAAAGAGACTATTCACTCCTCCCACCATTGTCCTGGAGTCTCAGTGCCTCTAGGTAGAAGAGAAAACTGAGCTGTGGTGGTGCCACTCCAGTACTCTGGAGGCAGAGTAGGCAGATCTCTGTGATCTGAAGGCCAGTCTGGTCTCCAGAGAGTTCCAGGGCAGATAGGACTGTTAAGCATAGAACCCCTGGTTCAAAAACCAAACAAACAAAAAGACAGAAAGAGGGGAAGGAAGAAAGAAGAAAGGAAGAGGAAAATTTAAAAAAAGTGATTTGCACTATGAGGGGAATGTCATGTACCCCTGGGCATCTGGGAGCTCAGGCCTAGGCTTTACAGATCTAGTTTCGGTGGAAACTATAGGTAGAATAAACTTCCTTTGGGTCTTCTGTCCTCTCTCAGAGGGTATATGTCAACTACTTGTTTATGTTCAGGAGAGTTCAGGGACTCCTCTTTAGTTTGAAAGGACATGGATCCCTAATGGTGTTGGGGTTTTCTGAAGTATTTTGATTTTTTAAATTAGCTGCTCTCTTATTTGGCCTTTTGTGTGTAGCTGTCATGGCTATGTTGGGCTCTTGGCTACATCTTCCTGAGAACATGGGGCTATTTGTCATGATGGTTCCTGGAGGCAGGGGTGGCAGAAGGAGACTGGCAGGGCCTTACTCTTCAGAGGGTCTTTTCCAGTGGTCTGCACAGCCAGGTCCTAATGGAACATACTCAGCTTAAGGAGCAGGTAGCCATGCTGATGCAGGAGAAGAAGAATCGGACAGAGGATTGTGTCCTGCTGAAGCACCACTTGGAGGCATTGAAATTAATCTGTGAGGACCAAGAGGAAGAGACCAGTGACCTCCAAACCCAGCAACAACAGGTAGGGGCAGGTAGGTGGGTCAGGCTAAGGTCTGGCACCATTTGCCCATTGTAGTCTCTGTCTGCCCATCCACTCACCTGTGCTTTCACCCATCACCTTACTCATCCATGCTCCCATCCAGCCACCCACCTCATGCCATCTGAGGGATTCACTTCAGTGTCCATGCACAAGTACTTCTGGGAAGTTAGCCTCTTCTGAGAAACTAAATTATTGGCAAACCATGCCTGCTGCTCTGCTTGAAACTGCGGTCCAATGAGGGAAACGGGTCAATAACATATCACACCTACATGTCATTTTGATAGGTAGGATGCTGTGCACAGAGGTTTGAATGAGTGAATTGTGGGTCCTGAGGCTCATGTGATTAGGAGGGTTCATGTGAGATCACAGAGGAGAAGCAGCTTACAAGGAGGAGTATCCCATGTAAATCCAAATGAGTCCTAATCATTGTCATAGATTGGTGGTATGTGGCCTTCTCCTTTCTTTATGAATCCCAATGTGTTCTCCTCCCTTTGACTGACTTTTGGTTCACACTGACATAAGCCTGAGTAGCAGCTCATGAGCCCTGTTTTCTGTGAGTGCTCCTTGAGAGTCTACCATTGTGGAGAATACAATCTGCAATTGATTGGTTGAACAGATGGGGGCTTTTGACAAGCTGAGTGCTGGGGTGTGTGATTTGCAGCTTCTGAAGTAAATTCTCTAGCCATCTCAACAGAGTCTGGCCAAACAGAGCTCACTCCCCACAGCAGTATTAATCCTAAGAGAATGATGGCAGAGTTGTGAGACTCTTCAATGTGCTGGTGTGCTTCGTCTACTCATCTGTTCATCTTGCATGATGTTGTGTTCTGCTCACTTCTTTTTTCCATGAGTGTAGTATAAGCTCTTTTGGCTTGCCTCACCTACCAGTAAGCTATTTTGATCCTTTGTATGTACTTCATGTGTATGACACTGTGTGCATGCCTGTATACAACTCTTCACTAAGAACACAATGTTCTAATGAACAGGAATTTGAAAGATTGAAGGGAAGCTTGCAGTTCCTGCTGAAACAGAAGGAGATGATAACCCAGGAAAAGATCTTGGCAGAAAAGCTGCAGCATCACTTTGAGGTCTCCCAAATGAGGTAGGAACCTAGGCTGGGGCGAACAGGTGGAGCCAAGTGGGTCCCTTGTTGCTGGGATCACTGTCATTTATGGGCTCCTGCTCAAATGCATGGCTCCCAGCTACAAGCAGGGCAAGAACACTTCAGAGTATTGTTCGGGTTGAAATAACAAACAATTCTGTCCAGGAATCAATATGTTTAATACTCAGAGTGTCTGAGCAATTGTGTCCTTTCTCCCTTCTGAGTGCTCAGGTATGACATGAGTAGGCTTTCCTTATAGTCACAGAGATCTACCTGCTTCTACCTCCCCATGATGGAATTCAAAGTTATGCATCACCATGCCTTCCTGAAATTACATTTTGACTTAGGAACATCCCCTGTCGAAAAGAGATTCCTACCTTTGAATACTGCTCTGTGCAGAATTTTCCCATTTCCTGGGATAAGTGTTCTCTGGATTGAATAGGTTAAGGACTTTTCAGAATGAACCTAGGCAGATGCCTTAGCTGCAGGGAAGATCAGAACCTTTTCAGGAGTGTTCTGTAACAGACTGTGAAAGAGTCAGGATGCAGATTCCTAGCTCTGGTTAAGGAAATCACAAGTTTCTGTTTGATCCCAGAGTCCATCAGGGCCAGTGTTCTCAGGCACACATCTCAGGAAATGCTGCTCTAGGATTACTACTGACTGACACTACATGTTGGTTATGTTCAAGGTGCCTTCTGGGCATGAGTCCTGAGCTAAATCATGACCTTATTTGAGTGTCCAGAATGCAAGGCTGCAATATGGCTATCAATAAAATGATGTGGTTTATCACAATTCACCAGGAATAAGGAGTATCACTTCTGTGCTGTTGACTGTGTTATTAATATATTGTTACTTTTACAAAATGACATCCCCAGACGTTAAGAGAAAGACTCTTTTTTTCTAGTAGAACAGAAAAAAACATTACTCAGCCAAATTCTGACAGGTGTTTAGGGCTGAGGAAAGTTCTAGGCCCAGCTACTCTCTGACTCTTATTCCTTGGTACAAACAATGACTTCAGTCAAAAGATCTATGTTGAGCATCTAGCACAGTTGAGGTGGTGGGAGGCAGCAGTTTAACAGCTGACAATGGCAGGTCCCCAGCAGGACTGTGTCCTAACTGCCTTTCCCTCCTAGGTCAGAGAAACTGACACATGAGCTGGAACAGGCCACAGCCCAGGATGAGAGCCTGCTTCAGAAGGAGCTGTTAAACCAGGAGCCACCTGCTGAGCCCAATCTCTGGGAAATTCTGGATTATGATGCACTGTCTCCCTATTATTTTATTTCCTATGTGTGACTAGGCCTTGGTTGTGCCTAGCCATTTACCCTGGATGGCTGCTTCTGTGTCTTGACTCCCTTTCCTTATTGACAATACTGATTGAGAAACTGAGGAGGCCAAAGGAAGGCAGACACCTTGAAACATGGCATCATTCACCCTAGGATCAAGGCCTCCTCAGAAATAGAACCCCATCATAGCTCTGAACTTACCATGAGGCAAAAACCATCTGACGTCCAGGTCATCCAGACCCAATCTGATCAATGTGTCTGTTGAACAGGAGTTAGTATGAAGCAAAATATAGAGAAAGGAATAGACAAAGCATTAACTGCATGAGGATCAGCATGCAGTTCAGAGCTGAGGAAGAAACATTATATCCATACATGCATGACTATGTGCAGGATGCCTAAGATAATAAAAAAGCTGTGGGGTTCAGGAACAAACCACCAGGGAGACTCAGAACCTGTATGGTGCAAAAGTATTGGTGTACATTTGGAAGATGAACTATCAGAAGATTTATCTCTTTGGGATGGAAAGTTTGCAGCTGAGGAAAAGCCATGGCTCAGGTAGACCTTTAAGGTGTGTTTGCACATGGAGATGTTTGGGATTCCACTCTTACTAAGGATGAACAGTAGAGGGCTTTGAAGAAGCGCTGGAGCATATCCAGATCTACTGGGCTCCCAGGAGGAGTCAGGGTGTATAAATCAGTGCTCGTCCTGATGGACCATCAAGAATACTTTAGTGAAGATGACTCAAGTGAATTCAACAGTGTTTGAGCCAAAGCCTGTAAAGTTTCTATCCTTCAACCCAGTGAAAACTGACGTATAAAGCCCAAAAGAGGCATGGCTATGCTCTTCTTGAAAAGGCTGTTGCAATCATTGACTCCCTTGCTACCTACCATCTGTCCAAGGCCAGTCACAGGCTCCAGGTCTGTGCTGCTCAATCTGCAGTGAGAGAATTCTGCATAGCTTAATTTTGTGTTTGATTATTGGTTTAAGTTCTTTATCTTAATTGTTTTGGTTATGGATTTGTTATTTTGTTGTTATTTGTTCTTGTTATTGATTTTTAAAATTTGCTAAGGCTACCATTGATTCCCCATTTAAAACCCCCTTTAAAAAATACATTCTTTTTGATTAAAATAAAAAGTAATTTTGAACTCTTCACACGTGGACCAGTTTGTTTTGTCTTGTGTGCTGTCACACTCCTGTAACCTTAGAACTCATAATCAGAGATGGATCTTTGCAAGTTCCAGGAAGCCTGCACTACATAATCACCTCCCACCCAACAGGGTGACACAGCGGATTGGTGTCTTGGGTGTGGATTGCCAGGTTTTCTCCCTGGATACACACTTTATGGTGGAATCAGTATCCATACTGTACCCCTGCTGTCATGCACTTAGCTATCCCTAAAATATGTTACTCTATAGACACACTTTCATGAATTGGTCATCAGGACTGACCGATTGAGAAATACACCTTTCCTGCTATACAGACTCTCAGGAAATAAAACCATTCATTAAGAGAGTCTAAAAGAAATCAGGAAACCCAGAGCTATCTGCCTCTGTTTATTTTTGCAATACAGCATCATTGACAACCACACAACAGAGATAAGGACCTTCTAATTCATATAGGGAAATTGCTTTTTGTAGATTCTGTTGGCCTTGGCCATACATTTGGTGTACTTTTTTTCTTTTTAGATTTATTTATTTATTTTTACTTTATATGAATGGTTATTTTTCTTGTTGCACGTCTCTGCTAGAAATGACTGCAGTTCCTGGAGAGGACAGAATTGGGCAACAGATCCCATTATAGCTGGTTACACCATGTGAGAGAGCACCAAATGCTCTTAACCTTTGAGCTCTCTCTCCAGCTCCTGCAGTTGGCTTTTGACCTTCCAGCCCCATGTGCTGTATAGGTTGAACTGGATCACCTCTGATCAAAGAAAGAAGTCTCTGGAGACATGTAGGGATGGGTACATAAGGTAGGCATGCTAATTTTCTCAGGCAGCCTGGACCTATGCAGGGCTCTGGTGTCCCCACTGATCTCTAGGGATTCAGGATCATGCTCCAGTGTTAGTTATAGTCAGAGTTGGAGAAGATCTATCACCTCTCATCTAGGATGACAATGTAGATTTGACACATCTGAGGAAATGCAGAGTTGAAATGACCCTCCTTGGGCCTGGGTTCCTGGTAAGGAATTCTTGATAGCAAGAAAAACTCCAGCTCAGCAGTGTTGGGAGGAAGCTCCAGGTCAGGCACAGGACATGTAGCCTGTAGCAGAGGATACAAGCTTCTGGTGGAGAGCATGCCCATGCAAGCTTGGGACAGGAGAGGGACAGTTGAAGTTGCCCTTGGCCATGGCAGATCTCAGAGTATGTTAAGGAAAGCTTTCTTCACGTGACTGTTTTATAATTATAGCTCTCTGGAGCGGATCTGACTTTTGATTCTGGTTGTGAGTCAGAGAGTTCAAGTGTGGAGGAAATAATCCTATGGGTCCCCAGACAGGTGCTGACAAACTGGTACTTTTACAATCTTAGCAGTCAGAAAAGCCTCATCGATGCTTTGGTGACTGTCTGTCCTAGATCGCCTCTTTCTGAGCTGACTCTGAGTCAGAAAGTATCCTCTATAGACACACTTGAAATAAGGTATGGCATTGTTTAAGCCACAATGCCAAGTTACTACTATATTGTGTGTGTCTCCTTGTCCATCTTCTCAGTATCTGGAAGCAGCCTGGGACCAGCTATGATTTACTCAACTGTGGGTCCTCAGCAGAGTGTTTGACTGGTTTGATAAATGATACCAGATTTGTAGATTAATGTGGCTTCTTCTGTAGGATTTGTGTAGACAGATAGGAGTTTCCTGTCAACTCTTTGAAGGCTAAACTGTCCTTAGTGCCCAGTATGGACTATGCCCCTCTTTGATCTCCCAGATAGCTAAACATCCCAGATGGATTTAAAAAAAAAAGATTGATTTATTTATTATGTACACAGAGGAGGGCACCAGATTTCATTACAGATGGTTGTGAGCCACCATGTGGGTGATGGGAATTGAACTCAGGACCTCTGGAAGAGCAGTCAGTGCTCTTAACCTCTGAGCCATCTCTCCAGCCCCCTCCCCCAGGTGGATTTTTTGTTTGCTTTTGTGTTTTTCATCTTCCTGAGACAGGGTTTTGTGGTGGTATTGTGTTCCCCAAAACTTATCTGGGGTCAGAAACAGAACAGCCACTAGATACAAAGGCTAGAAAATAGTGGCACTCACACCTTTAATCCTAGCATTTCAGAAACAGAAATCCCTCTGGATCTCTGTGAGTTCAAGTCCACATTGGAAACAGCCAGGCATGGTGACACACGCCTTTAATCCCAGAAAGCGAGCCTTTAATCCCAGGGAGTGATGGTAGAAAGCAGAAAGATCTACAAGGCGTGAGGACCAGAAACTAGAAGTATTTGGCTGGTTAGGCATTTGGCCTGGTTAAGCATTTGGCCTGGTTAAGCTTTTGGATTTTGAGCAGCACAGTTCAGCTTAGAGCCATTCGGATATGAGGACACAGAAGCTTCCAGACTGAAGAAACAAGATCAGCTGAGAAGTTGGCCAGGTGAGGTTAGCTGTGGCTTGTTCTGTCTCTCTGACCATCCAGCATTTCACCCCAATACCTGGCTCCAGGTTTGTTTTATTAATAAAGACTCTTTAAGATTCATGCTACAGGGTTTCTCTGTCCAACAGTCCTGGCTATCTTGGATGGAACTCCCTTTGTAGACCAGGCTGGCCTCAAATTCAGAGATCCACCTGCCTCTGCCTCCCAAATGCTGAGAGTAAAGGCCTGTGACAAGCTGTATAGATCTTTCTGCCTTCTGCCACCACTCTCTGGGATTAAAGGCTCGCTTTCTGGTATTAAAGGTGTGTGTCTCCATGCCTGGCTGTTTCCAATGTTGAGCCACATTCCCAGTCTTGAGAGCATTCTGTCAGCCATTTCAGAGACCAGTCTTGGGGTGGACACTGACTCTCTCCATCCATCCTGCCCTGTAATTGCTGTGAAAGATGAAAGGAGTTCCAGAGCTGGGATGTAACTCAGTGGTCTAGCAGTTATTTAGCATGCACATTGTCCTAGGTTCAATCCTAGCTCTAGTGGCTAAAGGAAAAGAAAAGTTAAGAACACAATGACACTCAGAGTATAGCTTACAACCAACGGAGGCTCCACAGAGGCTTTAAGTCCTCCAGACCCCGTCTTCCAACCTCCTGCCTCCAACTGAGAAATCTTTGCAACCTGAAGGCCTCTCTGCTGATGCAGCAAATTAAATCCGAATTAAACCGAATGGGACTGAATTAGAAAAGCCTCGGTTTAATGGGTGATTTTGAAGCCCCTCAGAGAGGAGACTGGGAAGAGACACCAGAAGAACCACATGTCTGTTTTCTGGGATGCAGCTTATATACCCTGTGGGAGTGGTCTTGAGCCTCCGTGGGGAGGAGCTGTGCTTGACAGGCTTTGAAGGGGCAGGTTTGAGGAGACAGACAGGAGAGAGGAATTGATGTGGTTCTTCCACCAGAACATTCCAGACTCTTTGGAGATATTGATGCCAGGGTGCCAGGGGTTGAGGTGGAGCTTCCACCCAAACACCGTCCTCCACAGCTTCCTTCATGGCCATCACTTGTTGAAGAGGGACTTTCACTAAGGCAATCATTCATTTTATGGGCGGTGGATGGAATCTACACTTACTAATAAAGCACAGAGATCTACTCAGAGAACTTAACACTGATGTACACCTTATAAAATTCCATGATTGAGGTGATCGGCTGGTGAGATCGCTCAGCAGGTAAAGATACTTGCTGCCAAGCCTACACACCTGCGTTTCTAACTGGGACCCACATGTTAGAGAGAACAAACCTTCCCAAAATTGTTGTCTGAGCTTCATGTGTGTGTTCTTATGCATCCTCACACTCACCATAGCTTTTCAAAATCACTCAAAAGACCATGGTGAAAACAATTGTCAAGGAGGATGCAGACCCCTGTCAGTAATGGCTCCATTGGTACATTTTCTGCTCCAATCTCCATGGCCACTCTCCAAGCCATGGTGACACTTAAGTAATTATTTAGAGACCCCTAAATAAATAACCCATAGTGGTATATGCTAGAAGCATTTTGGTGTTGGGGTTAGGCATGGGGTCTAGGCTTGTAGGCAGGAATGAGGGAGGAAGTGAGGAAGTTTCATTACTTATTGTCATGGATCTGGCTCTATGAATCACCCTCTCTGGCCAAATTGTAATGGAGCCTTGTGAAAAAGTTCAAGGACAATAGGCTCTGGCTCGTGTAGTCCTTGAAAACGGGGATTCTTCAGCAAAGTGGCCCCCTGAGCCAGGCTCCAGGTCAGATGAGGGGCAATGTCACACAGAGCAGGGATTCCAGGCAGGTCTTCTAGGCTCTAAGACCCTCACTCCTTCATGCTAAATTCAGAGGAAAATGGAGCTTGAATTCACTTCCTTCCACATATTTAGTGTGTTTTATTTTAGGTGCTAAGAATGGAAACAGGCCCTTCCCTGTGCTCTATCACAGAGCCATATCTCCAACCTAACTGATGTGACAGATCTTTGGCTGTCTTTTTTGAGAATTTCTTTTCTCTTTTTTATTTTTACAAATTATTATTTTGTATATGAGAACATGTAGAGGTATAAGACTACTTTGTTTGGTCTCATTTTTCATTTTCCTCCATGTTTAAGAAAATTCTGGGGATTGAACTTAGATCTCCAGGTTTGTACAACTAGTCTTTACTTGCTGAGCCTTTTCATAAGCCCCTGACTTGCATATGTATGTTGTTTTAACTTTTTGTTTTTCCCTTTTTAAATAATTATTTCATTTTTTATGTATTTGAGTGTTTTCCTGCAGGTATGTTTGAGCACCACATGTGTTCCTGGTGCCTGAAAAGGCTGGAAGAGTGTGTTTGAACCTCTGTATGGTTGCTGGGAATTGAACCCTTATTCTCTACAATGAGCAGGTGCTCTTAACTGTAGACCCAACTCTCCAACCCACTTTTTCTTTCTTCGTTTGTTTGTTTTTGGAGATAGTGTCTTACTATGAGGCTCTGGCTCTCCTGGACTCAT